AAAGAGTGTTAAAAACTTAACGGATTTTGATGAAAAGGGCTTGATTGCTAATGTTTTGAGAGTTTGGGAATCTTTTGTCAAAATTAAAAGAATAATGATCAAACTATCACACACTAAAGAAGTTAAGGATCATCCGTGTCAATTACCCTTTTTTTTTGTACAATTGTTTTTTAACTTGTATTAATGGATTTTTTGAATCCTTCTATTAGGTGCATAACGTGGACTTTTAGTTTATAGATTTAGAATTATGATTTTGAATCATTCTCGATTTACGTGTATTTTTTATAAGAAAAAATACTGTAACGAACTACGAATTATAATTCAAATCATGAGACGAATACACCAACTAAACGAACCATAAAAGTTAGTAATTCCGAAAGAAGACTCCCTCGTTCTATATCAATTACCCTTCTTTCCTCTCTAATTCAACAATAGATAGGCGTTATTCATCCACTCCGTACTTCCTTTTATCTCTGGTTGTAGCGCACTCTTATGCTATTTAGTAAGAAGTAAAAGAAAATTTAAATTACCAAACTATCCCAAATTAAATAAAAAAATTTCCCAACCTTAATCCGAACCCTAACCTAACTCCCTTTCTCTCCCGTGTCTCTTCCCTTCTTCAGCTTTCCTGTCGCCAAAAAAAAATAATCTAATCTAATCGACCAAATTACACTTTAGCACCTGCACCCGATGCTAGAGAAGACATGTGATATGTTTTGTTTTTGGAAATTAGTCCTGTAGATTACTAGTGTTAATCTACCAGATTACTCAAGCGACCAATGCGATAGACGACTGTTGATCTGTATTGAAATGTCAACATAATCTCGTCGATTATTGATGTTGGTTAAGTAGATTACTCTAGTCATTGGTATTCGGTAAGGGTTATTTATATAATGGTTAGGGGAATTTTTAAAAATGCCATTAATAAATTGACACTATTTTTTTTACCTTGTTAAATTTATCTTATGTCACTAATAACTTACAGGTTATGTTTTCATAACCTGCATGTTATATTTTCAAAAACTGCTAGTTATTTTAATAACTTGTCGAATATCTTTCGTAATTTACAGGTTACTATCTTTTCGTATTTTCCATAGTTGCATCAAAATTTTATGCAGTGGCATAAATAATAGAGTTAAAAAAAATAATAGTTAAACTTTAAATTTTCTCTAAATGTTACTTCAATCGGTAGTGGCCGATGGTGATTGTTAATTCTAGTAACACCCGACAGATTACCAATATTAACCTAGTAGATTACTAGGTAGCAACTTCGACAACCCCATTTTGTTGATCTTTGATTGAGCTTTATAATGACAATAATTTAAAAGCATTTTTAATTTGAGTAAATTATACTGTTACACTTTACTATTCTTTTTTTATATAATTAATCTCAAATTTTAAGTTTAGCAAAATACACCTTAAACTTTAAAGTTAATTGT